TCACTCACTCAGCGCTGAAACAGGATGTTTAGTATGGAGTACTCAGCACTATATAAATCCAAAAACCGATTGCAAACCAAATGAGACATCCATTCACAATCATCTCAGGTAAAGACAGTGAATACTTTTGCTTATTTATTTTTGCATGTAATGAGTATGGTTTATGTATGTTCATATTTTATAATTACTGTGCAAGAACTCCTTGCTGTGCAAGAAATCCTTTTATTGTTTTTCTTTTCTTTTTTCCAGAGCATCACATTTCACAACATGGGCAATGGAACATCTAGGCCTCTGACCCAGGACTCAAGAAAAAATATTAGGAGAAATGAAAAGCCCACTGAGGATGACCCAAAGGAAAAAGTTCCTTTTGCAGACGCCTTACGGAAAGACAAACATTCAAAAGTACTGTCCAAGAAAGACTACAGTATGGCAAAACTAAATCTTGCAAGAGGCAATCGCATCCGTTACTGCCATCTATCATCAGCACTGGAGTCTAAGCAGGAACAATTTTCAGTGCAGAATTGGGAAATGTGCAATCCTGCCTTTGTAGAGGAGAAAAATCCACAAAGTTGACAGACCAGTTAATATACTGACCCCAAGTGGAAAATGTCAGGACCTCTTAAAACTTCTTGAAAATTGAGGTGGATTGGATTTGTAACAGTCTGTTTTGGAAATATTCTGAAAACTGTTTCATTTAAATATTTAAATAATTTTTGAGTAGTTCCTGCTTGTCTTTAAAAAGGACCCTCCCCTCATTCATTGTCAGTGGAAGCCATTTGATAAATAATAATCTGTACCCTATTTCTGAAAACATGTCCAAATCAGCATTTCAAATATGCATTTGCTGTATCTGAACAATAGCTATCTTCGGATAAATAATCTCCAACACTATTGTGATTTAAAATTGATCTTAAATTTTCAAAGATGAGGTATGTTTTGGTGGATTTTTAAATAAAAATTTCAACTTGAAACAAATTGGTATCTTGTTTTCTAATACACACAGAATTCAGCCATTAAGTGTTACAAATACAATATAGGGACACTTTTAAGTAAGGGATAATTGACAATGGGTTAGTGATGTGCACTATTTTCTAAGAATTCAACAGACCGATCCTAAGTCAATTATTCCGCTTATACTAGCCTACGTCTTAAAGACGCGGCGCTCATGTGCGAGGCGCTGCAAAAGATGCGAGACCCGTCATGCACGTTCGTCAAGTAAAAATAAAGATAATGCAGATAATAAATAAACAGCAAAGTTAAATATTGTAAGATTTTGCAGGCCCCATTTCAACATCGCCTTTTTACAGTACCTCAAACAGCAGAGATAGTAGAGATGGTGACAGACAGACACAGGTCAAAGTAGCTCCTCAGTTACAAATGAACCTCACAAAGTTTGTTTTAAAAGTCCAGATGTTCAGCCATTACACAATGACATACAGAGAAGTCACAAGATATCATTTCTAATCCACATCCTGTTCAAATGAAGACAGAGGTTAAGTTCAAGCCCACACAGCGGTCACAGTCACATCAATAGTGATGCACACTGACCAAAAAAATAAACAAATAAAAAACACATCGGCTTTGACTTCTGTTTTCTCAAATACATGGCCTCAGTTTTTGCTTCAGAATAGGCTACTCGTTGTGTTTGTTTCATGGTGTGTTACTGAATCTCTGATTAGTGAGCTCCTCTACTACTATTGCTCATACAGTGTTTTATCAAACCCTTTTCGGTGTGTAATAAAAATAAAACTGGGAAATACCTTGCATTTACACAGAAGGCTATACTAGCACCTGTAGAAAAACCCCAAAATACCATACAGCAATGCATTAAAAACCACTCACATCTTAAAGGTGTCATGAACTGAGAAATCTATTTTCCCTTGATCTTTCGACCAGAGGTGGAAAGAGTGTGCGAAAATATTCTACTCAAGTAAAAGTACCATTACATTAATGGAATTTTACTTAAGTACAAGTAAAAGTACCAGTCTAAAAATCTACTCAAGTAAAAGTGAAAAAGTAGCTCGTTTAAAATTTACTCAGAGTAAAAAATTACATAGTTACATTATAACAGTGGGAGGGAGGCAAAAATTGGATAGGCCAAGGGTGTCAAACTCAGTTCCTGGAGGGCCACAGCCCTGCACAGTTTAGATATAACCCTAATTAAACACATCTGATCTAGCTAATCTAATCATTTAGACTTATTTGAAAACTATATGGTATGTGTGTTGGAGCAGGGTTGGACCTAAACTCTGCAGGGCTGCGGCCCTCCAGGAACAGTTGGAGTTTGACACCCCTGGGATAGGCCTATACATCTAAAACTAGTAGTTTTTAATTAAAGGAATCAGTTATTTAGAATAATAAGACATTTGGGCTGTTACCAGGCAAATTAAATCAGTATCAACAAAATTAATCTTTGCAATGCAGAGGAAACACAGAAGCTTCAACTGAAGTGGCATTTAGATGTATTTACATACTGTTTAATGCAGGACATGAATGCATTTAACCTGCAGTTACAAATGCAGAAAGAATGTTTTGATATATAAGACATAAAGTGTTGAATACTCATTTGAAATAAATACAAAAGTAAAAAACAAAAAGATACTTTAAATGAGAAATTAAAACCGCCAGTAGGTGTCAGCAAGTCACTGTTAATAAGTGAGTCATTCCGATTGAACCGAATCATTCAAACGGTTGATTCATTCAGGAACGAAACACTGTCATTACTCAGAGGTGCAAAATTGTGCTATGGTGGCTGTGTTTGGAATTATTTTTGTTGTCGAAATAGAGCAAAAACAGGTAATATGGTGTCTAAAACACAAGTCTCTTAATTAACTTCTTGTTTATTGAACTGTTGTAAAAAAATTAATCTATATGTAATCATGCTGATTTTTGGAGGAAGAAATGGCACTCTTTGTGTGATATTGATTTACTATATGAAATGATATAAATGTATACATTTTCTGCCCCTATATCTTCAATTCTGTGATCATTCGAAATGCATTTTAACAGACTGAATCACGCAGTGAAAGAACACACTCTAAATATGCGCGCGCACTAACGTTACTCTATCTACTAGACTTCACGGCACTCTGTAAGAGTGTTTTGTTTGTTTTTTGGCAAAATACTGATAGTGTCAAATCTCACATCACTAAAACAACAATTACGATGTTATCGCAGGCGATATATATCACACACTCTGCACCACTGTCGTGCGACAAAAGACCACCCCTGCAGAAAATCGTCAATGCCTACTTTATTATGCTTACATTATTGCTTTTTTAGCCCTGCCCACTAAATCGTGCATGTATTGGCGAGCGTTGTTGTGTCGCGTCACATCGGTAATCCATTTCCCTTTCATGTCAGAATAAGCGTGAGCGCTTGGAGTATGTCAGAAATAGAACGGGACAACAGTTTACTGTGGGGTATTTGTTGTGCCATTCTGTGCCACAGAATTACTGATTATAATGGGTTCTGCCGTATTTACTCATGGTGCACCACACGCGTCCAGTGTATTTTGACGAATGTGGGTAACCAAACAGTTGCTGGTCCCCATTGACTTCCATAGTATGGAAATAAATATGGAATCAATGAGGACCAGAAACTGTTTGGTTACCCACATTCTTCAAAATATGTGGGTATATTTTGAAGAATGTGTTCTTCATATTATATTTTGAAGAAATATGTTCTTTTATGATCAGCAGAAGAAAGAAATCCATGCAGTTTTGGAACAACTTGAAGATTTATGGGTGAACTATATCACTTCAGGGAGTTTTGTGTGGGAAAACACCATCTCACATCTTACTGTCATATGTTTTCCCTGGTATTTTTCTTTGAACCGGTGGATGTCAAAGGTTAACAGCACTATTACCAACATTTATTGAAACATGATCTGTTTGAAAAGTTACTTTTCTGTGCCTACAGTGCAATTTTAAAATCACCTGTATGTGAAAATGTGTATATAGCAAATACTGTATAGTCTCTAAATTGTTTCGATTGTTCTCTTGCACAAAGCAGTGGGCATAGCAGAAACTTTTCTTAGTAAGTAAAAGTAACTAAACACTGAGTACATGTTTTAACGTATAATGAAATATACGGTAGAAATTTACAAAGAAAAGTATTGATCATCATACATGTTCAGTGTGAGTATTAGTTCGGTTCTGGTTTTTTAGGTTGTGTACTATAATAAGATGGAACAGCTTTCGGTGACTTCCTGTGTGAAATCTAAACAGGATATTGTTCTGGCTGTGCAAATGCTATTTGAGGTAAAAGTATGGTTTCATTTTAATTCTTTACAGAAAATATTGCCAAATTATTAAACATAGTGGAAGTTTAATACTGAAAATAATTTAGTTATTTATTTTTGTGTGTATACAGTGGGTACGGAAAGTATTCAGACCCCTTTAGATTTTTCACTCTTTGTTATATTGCAGCCATTTGCTAAAATCATTTAAGTTAATTTTTTTTCCTCATTAATGTACACACAGCACCCCATATTGACAGAAAAACACAGAATTGTTGACATTTATGCAGATTTATTAAAAAAGAAAAACTGAAATATCACATGGTCCTAAGTATTCAGACCCTTTGCTCAGTATTTAGTAGAAGCACCCTTTTGAACTAATACAGCCATGAGTCTTTTTGGGAAAGAGGCAACAAGTTTTTCACACCTGGATTTAGGCCAGTCTTTCAGAAGCCTTTGAAATAGGAAGTGACCAAATTATCACAAGCATCAGGTTCAGCCAGATATAGGGGGAAGGAAGCTCTTGGATATTTAGCGCACAAGTCTTCTTCTGATGAACGCAGGCACAGTTTGAGGACAGAACAGTAAGTTACTAATTTATATTTTTTTCTACACAGTGACTATTTAAACTCCTTATTAAATAACTAATGCATTGCAAATGTCGCACTGCACGTGCTCCATTAACAGTGAAAAATGAAACTATGTTCTTTCATTCAAAAAAAAGTACTTAGTTGTTACTGGTAAATGAAGCGCTGTAAATGATGACAACATGTATTCCCAGGTGCTGAACTTTGATGCTGAGATGGTTTTCTGGAGCTTTTTACTGTCACTCTTTCTCTGGCTCAGAGGTTAGTAAAATGTAACTAGCTAAAATGGTTACCATGTATGACAGCTGTTTTAAATTGTAAATAATCAATGTTTAGTCGTTTTGGAGTAAATTTTACACACACATACATACAAAAAGTCTTTAACAATCAGTTAATTTTTTTCTGCTCTTAGGCCATGCAGTATTAAAAATAAAGTAAAATGAGTCATTCCTCACACAAAGGAATTACAGTGTACTTCCTGACATCTATGGGGAAGAAACTATTAAAAGTACTGAGATGAGTGTCTTGGAAAAGTATTTAGACCCATGCTAACAAAAGGATAACTGTTAGACAATGTTTCATTATGATGTACTGTCACTGGTATAACATTAAAATTGGCATTTGTACGATTAGATAAAATATTTTAATTGGTCACTAAATTGTCAAGAAAAAAATAAAATAATTTTGATTTATTCTTCTTTCAGTGTCATCTGCTAATGCTGGGGAATGGAGCGCTAAAATGCCAGAATCAGTGGTGGGTTTGTCTGGATCATGTGTGCTGATTCCCTGTACGTTCAGCTACCCTGCAAATGAAAAAACATACACAGAATTTACAGGAATTTGGTACAAAGGAAATGAAAAATCAACAGTATACCATACAGACACCTCAAAAATCATCGACTCATTCAAAGGTCGCACTCTCATTGGTGATTTGCGCAAAAATGACTGTTCTTTGAAAATCAGCTCTCTGAGCAGCAGTGATGCTGGGCCATTCATGTTCCGGATTGAGATTAAAGATCTGAACAAGTACACGTATAAAAAGAAAGAAGAAATAGTTTCTATAACAGTGAAAGGTAAAGGTCCTCTCTGTATTAAAATGACCAGAACACAACCTGATGATTAAAGTTATCCAGATGTCATCAATATGATTTTTTGTGTAATACCTAAATCAATATTTTAATGAACTTGTCAAGCATAATGGAAAAAAATGATGGAAAAAAACATTTGATATTGTGTCAACAATGTGTGTGTCTTCACCAGAAACACCAGAGAATCCTACCGTCTCTGTGGAAGAGGAAGTGACATCAGGGAAACCGGTGACTGCTACCTGTGCCGTGTCTCATTCCTGTCCGTCAGACCTGCCTCGTGTCTCCTGGAGCCATGATGGCTCACATTCAAGTCCATCACAGCCACAAAATCATGGTCAATGGAAGCTTACATCTTACAGCCTGACCTTCACTCCTTCTAGAGAAGACCACAATAAACGCCTCAGCTGCTCTGCAGAGTTTAAAGGGAAGACAGTGACAGGCTACAAAACACTCAAAGTTAAATGTAAGCCCATTATATGAGTGTAAGACAAATGATCAGATGCTAATTCATATCTTTTCTTCTTAGCTGTTAATGGTTTTAGGACTGTGATTTGCAACCTTTTTTACACTTTTAAAACGTTTGCAGAGGCCCCCTAGTTGAAAACCTTATTCGAAAACTTAAGTTTGAATAAAAAGCTTATATTTCAGTTTTTCATGATTGCTAAAACACTATAACCAGGCTTTTGAATTAAAATTTCAAAACCATAACATAATTTTCTTTTAAACAGCACACCCATTTCCCTAAACTATAAACACTATTCCCCTGTTTTGACACATGAGTCAGATTTGGTGAACTGTTACTGCAAAACTCTACACACATTTCTCAGTGCTTACACCATGTGGTTATTCACAAAGCACTAGCATTCAATATTGTTCACTCAAGTCAGCACAGTTTGAGCTCAATTAGCACGCAATTACCCAAACGGAAAATCTAGAAGTCAACATTTATCACACACCAATCAGAACCTTCGACGGAGAGATAAAAGGGCCAATATCAGCTCATTCATGTGCGAAACAATGGATCCAGAGAGACGTGAAGGAAGAGGTTGAGGACACCAGAGAGGAGGAGGAGGGAGTGGAGGAAGAAATGAAGGAAGAGTAGGAGGTGGAGGAGTAGTACGGAGAGGGAGAGGAGAAAGAGGTTTTCAAACATCTTTATGTCTGCATACTATCCCTTTCTAAACCCCACACTCTTAAAAATAAAGGTGCTTCAAAAGGTTCTTTAAGCGATGCCATAGAAGAACCATTTTTAGTTCCACAAAGAACCATTCAGTCAAAGGTTCTTTAAAGAACCATCTCTTTCTTACCTTTTTATAAAACCCTTTGTGAAACAGAAAGGTTCTTCAGATGTTAAAGGTTCTTTATGGAACCCTTTAGACAAAAAGGTTCTTCTATGGCATCGTGAAGCACCTTTATTTTTAAGTGTATAGAGGAGGTTTTTTTTGGCATGGCGGTGAAAAGTATATGACCAAGACCCTTACATCCGTGTTCACCTCCTCCAGACCATGAGAGAAGCCTGCCTGGATATTTCAGTTGATGTCGATGCCAGGGATGGATCAGGCATGCAAGGATATTTCACCCCCGCTGCCTGGCCAGGGCCAGTATAGCCTGTGATGTTGTCGAGGTTCTTTGGCCTGTCCCAGACAAAAAAGACAGGTTGCTGGGGCAGAATACAGTAATTATTTTATATTATTATGCATACATTTGTTGTGCTCATCATGTGAAAAGTTTTTTTGGGGGAGAACCACAAGCAACATAACTTATTACTGGTTTTTGAAGTATTGTTTTGAATTTATCTCATCAGTGTGTAAGACTGTGTTGTATGTGTGTGTGTGTGTGTGTGTGTGTTGTTGAGGGTTTGTGTGTCATGTCTGAGAGCAAAGTTTGGTTTTTCAGCAATATTGAGTTTTTTTTGAGTGGAGAGCTTCATTTTGACCTGAAGTTTGGGGAATTGTGTTAGAAGTTATGGATTTGTGTTTTGAGTTTCGCAAAAAAGAGGCATAATATCAAGAAATGTGTTTTAGCAATCGAGAAAAACTGTATGTTTGACCTGAATTGAGAGTTAGACTGATCAGACCATTGACATAATACATAGCATTTTATCAACATTTTGTCTCAATCAGATCCTCCATATAATGTAAACGTGGTCACTAAATCCTCAGTGAAGGAGAATGACTCTGTGGAACTGACCTGCTCCAGTAACAGCAATCCTCCTGCAAACAGCTTCCAGTGGTTCAGCTCAAATGGGAAGAGGTTAGCAGAGAACCCCACTTACAAACTGGAGAGAGTATCTCGACATACTGAGGCCATTTCCTGTACAGCCATTAACACAGAGGGAAAAAACAGTTCTGGTCCACAGAAAATTAACGTGCTGTGTAAGTACCAAGTATTATGTGTGACTGAACCATTCTTGATTAGAGAAAGTATTTTTAACATGGACAAAATGAAACATGCCACCTTTAAATTGAAAGAAATATTCCAGGATTAGCTGATTAGTTAAGTTGAAGTCGATTCAAGTCAGCAACTCTGAGTTACTGTGAGACAATTACAATAATTACAATGGAAGCGCAATCCGTAAACGTTAAAATACTCAATGTTTTAGTGGTCTGCACTCCCACTGGCCCCGACGAGTGCACAGGAAATGGTAAAAAGAACTGAAAAATAAAACGTACTTAAATATGTTTTTAATGAAAGTAATGTCATTGTGTGATTCATCTACTAAGCAACAACAACAAAAAAGTTTACATAGGCAGTTATGAATATTCTCAAAGTTTTTCACTTCCTTATAGGTGCATTGACCTTGCATCTTGTTTTAAGTTTTTTTTTAAACCTGGAATATTTATTTAAGGTGTGTCCATTGCAGCATTTTAATCACTGAAAGGCTGCTACAATCGTAAAAAAACTTAAGGTCCTTTATTGGCATCTATGGTTTTATGAAGAACCTTTAACATAATTGGTACCTTTGAACTGAATGTTTGTCATTGTATCAACATTTTGTCTCAATCAGATCCTCCATATAATGTAAACGTGGTCACTAAATCCTCAGTGAAGGAGAATGACTCTGTGGAACTGACCTGCTCCAGTAACAGCAATCCTCCTGCAAACAGCTTCCAGTGGTTCAGCTCAAATGGGAAGAGGTTAGCAGAGAACCCCACTTACAAACTGGAGAGAGTATCTCGACATACTGAGGCCATTTCCTGTACAGCCATTAACACAGAGGGAAAAAACAGTTCTGGTCCACAGAAACTTAATATATTGTGTAAGGCATCGGTTCAACAGTTTAAACTGGTATTTTTAGTGAAAGAAGATAATTGTTTATAATGTATGATATCTGTCTGTCTAGATCCTCCTGAGATTAAAAGTGAATCTTCTTGCCAGTCTAAGATTTTGACGGCGTGTGTCTGTATTGTGGACTCCAACCCTCCCAGTGAAGTCAAGTGGTTTGGTCCAGATTCCTCGAAAGCCTCCTCCAGCACCAGCATTAAACAAAATGAGTCTCTTACCATATTCACCTTACAGGGTTGGCTGGGTTTCCCTGAGACTATCCAGTGCATTGCCAATAACAGTCTGGGAAGCTCTTTCATAACTTTGGAAGCACCTCAAAATGGTGAGACTTCATCTTTTAAACACTCTATCATTGTTTTATTGCATAATAATAATAGCATATAATTCATAAAAATATTTGTTTCTTTTCACAGGCATAATAATATACATTGCTGTTGCATCAGCTGTTGTAGTTGTTTTAGCCTGCATTTTAGTGTATGTTGTGGCAAGACGCTGGTAAGGATCTCTCATTCCTCATTCACTGACTCACTCAATCAATGGGTCTTGTTACTCCTTTGTTTCCTGACAACTTTAAAATCCCTCTTTTTTTCAGTGGGAAGAGAGCTGCACAACTACGTGTAATAAAGAATGAGCAGAATGAAATGAAGATAACCCAAAACAAGTCTGATTTAGAAAAGTATATATATATATATATATATATATTATAAACTTATATACACTACAAGTCAAAATTTTAGAATCATTAATGTTTTTTTAATTACTGATTTAAAAAAAATATTTCAAAAGTTTGGGGTAACATCATCTTTTTTAAAGAAATTAAAACTTTTTTCAGCACGGATGGGATGCACTAAATTGTGTAAACATGACATATTCCAAATGTCACAAAAGATTTAAAATAAATGTTATTATTTTAAACTGTCTATTCATAAAAGTAAAATGTATTACGGTTTCCAAAAAAGTAGCATAACTGTTTTCAACATTGATAATAATAAGAAATGTTTCTGGAGCAGTGAACAAGTATATCAAATTGATTTTTGAAGGATAATGTGGCACTGAAGACTGGAGTAATGATGCTGAAAATTCAGATTTGCATCACAGAAATAAATCACATTTTAAAATATATTAAAATAGAAACTATTTACCTTAAATTCTAATAATATTTTAGAATATTACTGTTTTTACTGTATTGTTTTGCTTTGGTGAGCAGAAAAGGCTCATATTAAAAAACAGGACATCTTAATGATTTCAAACTTTTGACTGTAGTGTATAATGTAATATTTGTTACATAACTATATATCAGAACTTTTACTAATTATTTGTATCGTTCGTTTTATGAAAAGCAGTAAAGAAGAGAAAGGCAGTGATGGGGATATTTACACAAATTGCCCGGAAGGTCGTGTTTATGACAACTGGGGGGTAAGTACGACTTTGCGCCATCAGTGCAAACTTTTTACTCTTTCACAACTATTAAATGAATAGTAGCGCATCAGTTCTTTAGATTTTTTTGGGAGGTTGATTTTCGTGGTGTGAGTTTAATGTGTTGTTTGTGTTATGTATGTAAAAAAAAAAATTAGCTTGATAGAGCCTGGTTGCACTTTATTTAAAGGGGTGGTTGATTGTGGTTTCACTTTTTTTTTTTTTACTTTAGTTAGTGTGTAATGTTGCTGTTTGAGCATAAACAATATCTGCAAAATCAACAGGCCATGTTGTGCTGCTTTAGAGAAGAGTTGCTGCCATGCTGTCAAAACTAGGGGTGCACAGAAAAATGTATCCTGATTCTAATGGATTCACATGTTTCAAAGTCAATGTTCTAAAGCAGCGGTTCTTAAACCTGTTCACACGCATCTCTCTCTCTCGCTCGCTCTCTCGCTCTCTCACACACACACACACACACACACACTCTCATTCAGATCATCAGCCTGTCAGCTCCATCAAAGAACTGTGTTCCAGTTATACACTTTATGTGTATAGACAGACAGATATTTTTCACAAAACTATGAGAAGTGTTAAACATGGTTTCCGTGGTAGCGAGCGATACTTGTTCACACCAAGAACGATAACTATAAAGATAATGATAAAGATATAGTTGTACAAAAATGCTACAACACAATCATGTATTCTGCTGTGTTACAGCTTTAATCAGGATAAAACCGTATATATTAAAAGTAGTAGCATTTACAAATAACAGTGTATCTAAAAGTATGAGACAATAACAAAGAAACATACCATTCTGAAACGTCCTGTAAGAGTAGTGGTGGAAAGAGTACTAAGAAATTGAACTTAAGTAAAAGTATTGCTACTTAAGGAATAATTTACTTGAGTACAAGTAAAAGTACTGAAAAATAATATTACTCAATTAAGAGTAAAACAGTATCTCAAGTATACTCAAGTTACAAAGTACTTTAGTAATATTTTTCTACTTTTACCCAAAATGAGACGATGTGAGCATTATGGAGCAGGGTTAACCCTAATCCTAACACCCATGTACTGTAATGTCTGTTTCAAAAGTGAGACCTAGGATCCCATATATGGATAAATGCATCAGATATCACTACAGCTGAATAACATGCATAGAGATGCTTTGACTGATGAAACGTGGAAGACAATAAACACGCAATTGCAATGCAATGCTAATTGGCATAGCTTGTATCACAGTATAGAATTTTATTTTTTTTTAAATGTCTGTCTCACTGTAATAAGTAGCAAAATGGAACCACAGAAGCTAACTGTTTCAAACACGACTGATGTTATATAGTGATTTTGGAGCAAAACATGATATTAGTCTCATAAATTGTCATGTTTGACGCTATGTTAAGCAAGCATACTACCTATCCCTGTTGCCAGGAGCAATTGTTTTATAACTAATTTTGAAAAGTACATTCACGTATAAGATTATGTGGTTATTTTTAAGAAGGGCAGCAGATAAAACAGCCTGTGAGTAGTCTTGACTTGAATGGCTTAAAATCATATTGAAAGTGTAGTTTGTTATAATAACAAAGGTGGACTCCAGGCACATTTTCGGTAGGACAAAAAAAGGAGCATTTTATTTAACATGTTAACCCATACCTTGGCTTGAGAATCCAAAATCTATTCCAATTCTGGAATAGAATGCTTTAGGTGAGGAATAGTCTACTTGTTATAAAATTTTAATTTCGATTCCTCTTATCGATTCCTTTGTGCGCAATTCTAATATGACTCTAAACCATTCAAGCACAAGAAGACTCGTGCACTGTTTTCTGTACTGCACACACAGGGGCATAGCCATCATTTCAGAAATGAGGGGGACAGAAATGTAAAAAACAAACAAACAAAAAAAACCTTTTGACTTTTGTCTAATTGATAGGCTTTATTTTTTCTTATGTCTTTTAATTGGCTAAGAAATCAAATACACTGCTGGACGATAACCAATCATTTGTATTCTAAAATATTTTTTCTGTATTTTCCTAATGACAATTTTAGGATTGGTTTATACAAACACATAATAAGGCAGAATAGTTTCTATACTGTAATACATTTTATGTCAATTAGCACTGCATTATTAATATACTATTTATTACGTGGAAAGGACCTGAAATTACCTTTTTTTTTAAGCTACAGCAATAGCGGGATGCCTTGGTCCATATTAGGGATTTCCTGCACGTCACAAGTTATTACTTCTACTAGGCCGTTTTGAACTTTCTGCGTGAGATCGCCCTCCGGCTTCGAGTATGAATGAAACATGCACTGCATGAGAGTGTTTAGCGCTCTGTAATGTTCACCTCGTCTCGTTTTGGATATGAATAAATCGTCCGGTCATACACAGACTATCTTGTTTCTTTGCCCATGTGCACACACACGCACACAGAAAAAGTTATTTAAAATGCATTTGATTAACAGATAAATCATGGCTGATCTATCAGCCAGATGCACGTAAAAATGCATGCGCTCTTATTTCAATGTTGTTGTTAATGTTGAGGTATATTTTAGCTTCGTACATTTAGTTTAACTGCACTGTTAAAGATGGCGATTTTTACCATTCAACTGAACTGTGTGCATGTATTTTAGACACATTGTTCTTTGCTCCATCCATGCAATAATTCTATCAACCGAGTTTTCTGTTTACTTAGTACTGCTGTGTGCTCTGGCAATATCAACGGTATGACTCATTTCAGGAGCTGACAAAATTACGATTTAAAATCAGAGCATAGCTCACATTCACTTAAAGGGGTCCTATTATGCTCTTTTACAAAGTCTTGATTTTGTTTTGGGGGTGTACTAGAACATGCTCTCATGCTTGGTGGTTCGAAAAACACATTATTTTTCACATAATTTACATTATTAAAATACCTTTCTCCCCAGGCTGGCACAAATGGCTCGATTAGTTCCGGCTTTGATGAAGGTCCGCCTTCCGAAAAACAAAATGTGTTGTGATTGGTTAGCTGTCCCAGTGCGTTGTGATTGGTGAACAGCTTAGACAGTGTTTCAGTACTGCCACGTCCCCTTGCTCCGTCTTTCAACAAAAGCTTTTGGCGAATATGGCACTTCTCACTCGTGATGTGGAAGCTGTCCTCAGTAAAATGTGCAGCACACAATAGCAAATTGGGGTTATAATGCTCAGGAACAGAGTTAAAAAGTAAATTGCAACCACTGATTCCTGACATCATCCGCTTTTTGGGCACGGAGGTGAAAAAAACAGCGTTTCATGCACTCGCGCACCGGACGAGAAGCGCAGCGTCGCGCCACATCTTTAAAATTAAAATACATTATTTTCTATGAGTGTAGGCACACCAGCGGCGCCGTTCTGCGTCTTACACACAGTGTCCATTGCTCCCTACTCCCTGAGCAGTGGAAATCTGTTGAAGTTTACTTCACTTCGGAATATTCGCCTGCAGCGTCTTCACACTCAAACAAAACTTACTAGAGAAGCGTGAAGTGGGACATAATATACCTCTGTAAATAAATACAATTTAAATTCATGTCTCGCACACTTAAATGCCCTTTGTATGGAACATATACGCTCCCTTCAAACTGGAATCATGGAGGAATATCCGGTAATGTCCACTTCGCAGGGCACTTACAGTCAAATATAACAAATGTATGAAGCAATAAGAGAAACATACAAAATGTGCAGAGCGCGGGTACGCGAGGACTGGAATTGAGAACCGCTGTTCTAGACATGCCAAAAATTTGACGCTACAGCACAGCAGCTCTTCTTTGTTCCCTCCCATAGGTTCACTTCGATGCTGCGATGACGTCATCGCTTTGGGAACACCTTCGGTGTGACGAATGTCTGAAGCTCTTATACCATCACGCCAATTCATTGGCCAAATAGCGCTTAGCACTGCCCCCAAAGCGCACGCAGGTGAGCTATATAGCGTACTGCGCGCTATTTTCATCAGATTTTATTTCCTTCAGGAAGCGAATCATCTGTCGCCCGTAGGAAAGCAAAAAAAAAGAAGGTCGTGTTCTTAGCTATTTCTCAAAAAGAGCAGTTTACTCCTCTTCAGCGGACACGATGAGCTACAGGAGATGCATTGAGCCATGTGACAGGTTCATCGCAGGAGGAGACACTCATGATAGGTGCGTGCAATGTTTGGGCCTACAGCATGCCCAAGCGGCGCTTAGCGGCCTTTCTGATTGTCGACACTGTGATAGCCTACGGCTAAAAGCACTGCACTCGAGGTTCGCGGCATTCTCAAATAAAGTAGGCCTCGCGTCTAACCCCCGC